GTGTGCTGCTGTAGTATGCTTATTGCAAATGATGAGCATTTAAACCGATTAGTCGCAGGAGGCAATCATTAACACGCATCAGGATAATTAGTCGCTGCTGATAGCGGCATGTAAAAAGTTATATCGTTACTGTCATGATCCTAGCAGAGGCGAGAGCTACAGGGAGTCGGTTGTACTTTTACAGTCTATTTCTGTATGTTAACATGGGGTGGGGCATGATTATTTTAGTCATTTAAAGCAAGACTATTGTTCGATGTATCTAATTGTTATGAGTTTTATTCCTCTTATGTTTACAAAACGTGCCTTTGGTTGCCCTTCTTCAGAATTCTTGAGGTTGCCATTGGTGCCTTTCTTTATAAATGCCTACTGTGCCTCCAATTTTTAGAGAAAATTCAAGGCAATTCTTCCACATGCCCTAAAAAATTGGCCTTGCCCTTCTTCGTCGCTTATTCGAGCCCCTGGCATAGGAGGTAGAGGAGATAGAGGATAGAGAGATAGAGGATAATGAGAAGAGAGAGAGCGGGAGACTGAGGAGTGATAGAAGAGAGAACGTAGAGAGAGAGGAGAGAGAGAGAGAGACGAGAGTGACGAGAGGCGAGAGAGACGAGGAGGTGGGAGGGAGGGGGAGGGAGGGAGAGAGAGATGAGAGAGAGGAGAGAGAGAGCGAGATGAAGAGAGACGAGAGACGACGAGGAAGAGAGAGAGAGACTGAGAGAGAGAGAACGAGATGGCGAGGGAGACGAGGAGAAAGAGAGAGGGAGGGAGGAACGGGAGGGAGGAGGAGAAAGGAAGAGGGGGGGGGAGGACGAAGAGAGAGAGAGAGAGAGAGAGAGAGAGAGAGAGAGAGAGAGAGAGAGAGCGAGCGAGAGAGAGAGAGATTCACCACTGCTGTACTATTACCTGGCCTGACTCGCGAACCCTCCTCCGCTCTCCATCGCCATCGATCCGCCGCTGCTTCCGGACAACGATGACAGTGACGACGAGGGGTTGCTAGGCAACAGGAACGTCGACGACGGGTTGCTGCTCGTCTCGCGCGACTTTGAGCGAGACGACGCATGCTGCCTCTTGTTTTCCTTGCCCGGTCCTGCAACGACGACATATAGGATGCTCTAGTGTTTTTACATTTTTTGACAGTTGGGAAGCGCTTGTGTTTTTCTCGTGCGGTTCAACACCTGCGCACATCTAGAAGCAATAGAATATTGTTTCTATTATAACAGAATATTATAAATAATTATAATAATGGGGAAAAACTTTTTTTATTATTTGTGAAAGACATCCGTCTGAGCAGGACAACCATGCCCTCTTGGACACTGTTGCCAGGAGAATCAAACTAAAGCAGTTCATATGCGATTTTCCCGCACGCAAGCCAAACTTGCACCGCAGCGATGGCTCAATGGTAGAAATTGAATGCTCGCAATGTGGAAGGTCGGTATTCAACTCCCGGCCGGGTCATACCAAAGACTTGAAAAATGGTACACACGGCTTCTCTGTTTAGCATTCAGCAAATAGAGATAGAGTGTGGCAAGTTAACTCGCAGTGCTACCAGTGGACTAACCCCCTAGCATTTACCTGTAACATTTACTGTGAAAGCAGCTGCGGGGCCTCAGGGTTACTGAAACGGAGATAGGCACCGCCCTATGCGCCATATAGGCGCAGGAAGGATTTAACTAACTAACTAAGCCAAACTTGACTTAGCAGCATTCCGTTGCCAAACAGTCTTTTACTTGTATGACCTATCACAACACTGACTGTCGAACACACCAGAGGAACAGCTCAAGTTCTGCTAGCAATGTCAGTTTTACCAACTCAGCAGGGGTGCAATGCTGGTGAACGCTAGCATAGGACCAAGGTTCTCCAAGGGCACTTATAGCCTGGCGGCCCGCCAAGCTATCGTCGAGCCCAGCCATCCTAAAATGCACCCGCCACTCTAAATATCATAGCCACTATGCTAAATATCATAGCCCCCGGACCACCCTAGCACGCAAACCGCCTTCGGCGATTTGCAACTAGGACCGTAAAGGCAGCACCCGCCATGCTATAATGAAAAAGCTTGGAGAACCCTGAGGACATGGGAATAACAGCGCAGAACTGCTAACCATGGCAAACACCGACAACAGAGCGAAACACGTTGCTCAAACGCACGCGATTCGGACGACGACGCGCAGGTCCGAGATACTCACCAGGTGGCGCCTGAAACTCGGCGTTGCATCGGACGGGAGCCGAGGCGACGCGCGTCGTCATCTCTGAACAGCTGCTCGTGTGTTTCTGTCCTGCCGACATCGATCTGAGTTTGAGCGCGTCGTTCACCGTCGACGAACACGTCTCCTGTTTGGAAAATAACGACACGGGGTTCGAACGTGGTTTTGCTGCCGACAAGGGTCAGTTTACAGGGTTCGAAATTAAGAGCAGCAAGAAGCAGTTTTACTGCAGCCTACAAGGGGGTCAGTGTTATATACAGGGTCGAAATTAAGAGCATACGCACACTTATTAACACGTGCACACACACCCAAGCACCACATAGACACACGTACACACACGCACGGACACTCACGCTCATGCACGGACGCACCCACGGACAGACGGATGCACGCATGCACACACACACACACACACACACACACGCGCGCACGCACACACGTGCGCACGCACGCACACACGCACACACACACACGTGCGCACGCATGCACACGCACACACACTGTATGACTAATGGCCCTGCACACTAGCCGCAGTCGATCACGCACCAATAAAATAACAGCAACCAGTTTCCCGTTGTAAACAGAGTCGCCGCCGCCGCCGCCGCCGCCGCCGCCACATCCCGGTTTCAATTCTGCCAGCAAAACGCACGTCAACCCTCCCTACCGCCGCACACTCAAAAACAAGAGCCCTGCTACATCCTCACCACACGGATCTCCTCTCCACCGCACGTGCCTTCCTCCGCCCCCCCCCCCAGAAGAAGGGGAGTGCGAGGTGGAAACGCACGGCTAACCGTCAACCCTCCCTACCGCCGCGCATTCAAAAAGAAGAGCCCTGCTACATCCTAACCACACGGATCTCCTCTCCATCGCACGTGCCTTCTTCCCCTTGGATGCCTGTCCTCCGCCCCCCGGGGGAGGAAAGGAGGGGTAATTGCGACACATAAAGCCCTGATGGATTCGTCACCCGCGGCTCTCCTCCTCCCCCGCCCAGCCCCCCACCCCCCGGGGAGGAAGGGAGGGGGTAATCGCGACACATGAAGCCCTGCTGGATTCGTCACCCGCGGCTCTCCTCTCATTCTGCGCCTGCCTTCCGCCCCCTCCCCCCGGGGGAAAGACGAGAGGAGATAGCGGCGCGTGAAACCCTGACGTTGACGGAGATTCGTCACACCTGACTCGCGACGAGACGGTCCTTCTTCATGCGGAGATCGTGCTCGGCCCGCATCGCGCGGTCTTCGTCGTGAAGCTGTCGTATCAGCTCCACGCTCTGCCTCTCCTCCAACTCCCTCTGTATCCGCAGCTCCTCCTGTACCTGCAGCAAGCAAGGGGAAGGTTTAACGAGGGCTTGTACAACGGCACAAACGTGGGGGTAACACGCCACAATCGAGGGGGAAGGTTTAACGAGGGCTTGTACGACGGCACAAACGTGAGGGTAACACACCACAATCGATGAGGAAGGTTTAACGAGGGCTTGTACGACGGCACAAACGTGAGGGTAACACGCCACAATCGAGGGGGAAGGTTTAACAACAACGAAAATAAAAAAGCGTAGAGTAACGCAAAAAAAAAGACAAGAACGAAACGCATTTTAAGTTCGACACGACATACGCCGACACAAATGTGTAAGGAAAACGGCGTTACGGTACGTAATCGTTGGATAATGTAAGGAGCAATCGAGGCGAAGAAATGGCACCAGATGGCTTCAGGTTCTCCCCAAGATGAAATTGAAACAGGGGACGGGAGAGAGGAGAGGGGGAGGGAGAAAAACTAGGTCCGCGGGAGCGAAATTATTTTTCCACCGAGAGTTCTGGATTACACCATAGATAGTGTTTGGTACGTATGCCACGCATACATAAGATAGCCGAGTCGTTTAAAGTTAGTGTTAGGGTTAGGGTTGGTTCGCATCAATAAACGCATTCAATTCCCCGCTCTGTCAAACTTGTATTGTGGTGGAATTTAATCATCGCGGAGATATTTAAAAAACGTGGCCGCAACAATTGAAATGGGTGGGGGGGAGTTTTCCCAAACGGGGCGGCGCGCCCGGTTTGCGCAACGTAGGACAGGGGCCTTGGCCTTCCGGCTTCGTGACTGCCTTAGAAACGAGGCATTCCGCGCGCTAATTACCATCGCTACTCCCCAGCGAGCAGCCAAACTATGGAAGACACACCGATGCGACATTGAATGGCGAACTACGCACACGCGATGAGATTACGATTAAAAAGTAATTATTATAATGTGGATTATATTACCAGGGTTAATAATGACAAATTTGTCATTATTAACCCCTGATTAATATTTAATATTTAACCCCTGATAATGTATATTATATTACAGGGGTTATAATTGACAAATTTGTTTATATTTTCTACAAATATATTTAATATTTAACCCCTGATAATGTATATTAATATACCAGGGTTAATAATGACAAATTTGTCATTATTAACCCCTGACAAATTGTCATTATTAACCCCTGATATTATGTATATAAATGAAAGTGTCAATGACACTGTAGCTCACCACAAAAAAGGACACAAATGAGTGAGTAAGAAGAAGTCAGTTTTAATTGAGCAACCATCGACGTACATTATAGAAATGATTGCCCATCTGATATATCACAATAATAATGTATAAACCACAAATGAATCACAATTGTGACCGTAAAGATGCCGATATACCCGCTTGGTGTAGCGATGGCCGCTTGAAATAAATAGGAGCCCGGAATGCTGCGTTCCGACATGTTTTGTTAAATCTTTACTCTCAACCTATAGACGTTTTATCGGCAGAGTGGCAGTAGGAAATACCAATTTTGCATTAAAGGATATTGTCTAATGAATCTTGTAAAACGAACCAGGCGAGTGTGACACCACAGACTGTTTGTGTTTAGTATAATATGCCTATAGTATTAGTAATTGCCAAACTCTACCTAATTTGCATAATTTTTTCTTATAATATCAAAACCCCTAGGCCCTTATTCATTCACACTGCACCAAAAATGAGCAAATCCGTTGCAACCTGAACTGACTAATGCAATTCCCATTTTTGCCAAAAAATTGCCGTGGCTCGAAAGTACGTCGACTGGGCTGGGCGTGCGAAATAGCGATCGTTCCATCTAATGGGAGCATAGCCATCAACAACTACACCCAATTTCAAACATGTGCGGTCAGACGTTTCCTGATGTTATCCGTTGACAGAAACGCAAATGTTGCACGAACGGCGGACGGGACGGCAATGCGTCTGACGAGGTTTCCTTGACGACGACCGTTACGGACGACCCCATGGCCAAATAGCTCAACTTGACGATCGTCAACGTGCAGCTAAAAAATTAACGCCGGGACCTTTCGCAGTTGCGCGCTGGGGCTCGTCGGATCCAACCCAGTATATCCTTTCGCACCTCCCCCGCTCAAAGCGGCTATCAGCGGCTGGGTTGTGTTCCGGCGCGGGGCGAAACCCTGCAAGCAAAACACACCTTTAGTAAACAAAGGAATCGCCCGATCCTTGCGAAGCTATCTGCACACGCACAGCGCGCGCGTGGCGCGGACGGGGTGACGAACGCGATTTTGATCCCCGCGAGATAAAGCAAGACGCCCCCCTCGGCGCCGGCGGCTCGCCACTCTATGCCTCTGCTGTCCCGCCCTTCCTCTGCCCACCACACAGCCGTTGCGATTCTGCCACCTCTGACGTCCCGTGTGTGCCCTCCTCGTGGTATCCACCGCGGGGAATCCCCAATCCCAGCGGACCGTGATCTACGACAATACGGCCGCGCATGCGAGTCACGTACACGCAGATCCCGCACTGCCCCACACTCGACGAGAGTGCGCTCATCTCTCTCTCGTCTCTCGTGCGTCGTCTTCTTCTCTGCGGTGAGTTAACGGCCGGCCTGGCAGACGTCACGGACCCGCCGTACTGATTCCCAACCCGTCATGCACTCGCTATCTAGGGTGCTGTAGCGTGACAAACCTTAGCCGTACCGCGGTCGGACTTTTGGAGTAAACAGCTTTGGTAGTATCTGGCACGGCGCCAGCTCACGTACGCGCGGCGCGCGCGCTCACGGGCCGACAACTGGGTTGAAAGTTTGTAGGATTGGCTCTCGCTCGGGGCGACCGCGCGACGCGAGTTGCTGCTGCGCTCAGGACGCGCGCGATGACACAGCCACTAGCCGGGTTTTTAGATGAATGCCGCGCTCCCCTGCGTGCGAGAAGTAGGTATATCAATCCGCACCCTGCCGTGAAATGTGGCGGGGCGGCGCTTGATCTCCGGCCCGTGTGTGTAGGAAACACACAGCTGTCATTGCAGGTACATATATGTATATCAAGGTAATATCAAGAGCGTATTAAGAATGTTTTTAATACGCTCCAGCATTCTTAATATGTTCTTGATAATATATATATATATATATATATACACACACACATACAAAGACACACACTTTACAATGTGCTGTAGCCAGTCCCCCAGTACGGGACTGGTAGCTTGTAAGCAGGACTGGCTCATTTTTTTATGGATTTTACTGTAGCTTATATATATATATAGCAAATCATCGGGGTTGGCCGGGTTTTCTGACTTATATATTTCTACGACTGGCTGTCTGGCTATGTACAACATTAGGTTGATACATGAAAAATTTAAACAGAGATTTTTTTATGAGTGCGAGAAATAAAACCAAATACGATTTAGAAATAATTAAGCACATGAATTGTCCACTAATTATAGACATTTGCATATATCTATACAGTAGAACCCCACTACAACACACCCCGCAATAATGTGGATTCACATATAACGTGAATATTACTTGGCTAGCCTTTCTCCTTATTACTCTTATTCTTTTATTTGATTTGATATGAATTTGGTATTCTTTAGTAATCTTTACCTCTATTTAATCTTTGTTGGTATGGCGAGATAACAGCATGAAAATCATCGTTTTATTCACAAAGAGACTAGTCAGCATTCCCAAATAACAGGAACATTAAACATTTTATTACACCACTATAACATGACACACTATTGCGCAGTAAAATTTGTTGGACCCCCCATCACTGTGTTACAACGGTGTTCCACTTTTTTATACTATTATATTTATAAATACTGTTCATTATTTGGCAGTTAGGAACCCATGATACTAAGAAGTTAAAATCCTGCCTAATCAGTAAGTACACAAACAAGCAGGACCGATAAACCGCTTACTCGCGCAGATATCGGTCTGTTGATTTGATTATTCACGATCAAACTACCGTTTTATCACCAGCAACTGCTCTGCCGCCATATATTTCTATGTATAGTATACGCTGCTGCACTAGTGCACGAGTGTACTCGACAGGATATTGTGCATCCGGACGGTTGTACTATGCATTCTGTCGCTGCCCTACTACTACTACTACTACTGATAGTAAAACACACCGTGCACGTGTCTTGGTGGTCAGTGACTCGGTGTTTGTGCGTAAACTACACGACTCAGATTAGAGCCACTTATCTAAACTGCTGTATTTTATTTCTAGAGTGCACTGACATATTAATTTACGAATATATCCCTAGCAGGGCTATATATATATGCAGAAGACGGGTCCACTCTCGTGAAGGAACAGCGTGTGTTACGCAGGCAGGCAGGTACCTGGTTACGGATACTCGACTGTCGACGAACACTCGTACAATACGAACGAGCACACATATTGTGAACTATTAATTTCAAGTCTACGTGTTGAAAATTGCAGCTTTTGAGCGTAGCTGTGAGAATTTTTATGGATTTTACTATAGGCTAATGCCTATTAATAGTATTATATAAGAAGTCAAGATCAATTCAAAATCAAGAGTGGCTGGGGTTTCAGACTCATTTCCAAGACTTGTGTGACCACTCAATCACACCCACTAGAGGCGAAACTATGCACATTTTACATATATATATGCAAATAGTGACTAGGGTACGTTCCGGCAGTACCCTGGTGGACATAGACCCTATGAGTATGAGCATAACTATAGGTTTTGGGCACAAGTAAACATCTCATGAATTTCTCATTTGATTTTGCAAAGAGTCGGTAACAACTCTTAAAAGAAACATAAACATGAGGACTGAAAAT